TTGATAGTGAAATAATATATGAATGTAGATAGTTTATTTCCAAACTCCTTTAGATCAATTAAAATTAGACACGTGTACAATGGCGGAAAATCCTTTATGTTAAATAACTACTTTTACAATGGCTAATCAGATTCCGAAATTTCAGATGTAATTTTAAAATAACAATGAATTTTTAAACATATATTCAGTTCTTCACTGTAAATTTTACAGAAAGTCAAACTCAAATTTTTTTCGTTCATTTTTATTTTACGTTTTTCGTTTTTAAGGTGCCATTTTAGTATTTCATGCACTGCTACCATTTTCAATCGAAACTACTTAATAATTATTTCAAACCGAAAAGTTTCGATTTTTCTGTGGTAATAATCATTGAGTTACATTGAAAATGGCGGCGTTTAACTAGAAAGAAAAACCTGAAAATTTAACTGATATGTATAGAATTCTATATATTTTTGTTTGTTTTTGTTTGATTTCCTTTTAAATAGGAATTATATGAAATAGCAAGAAAAAAGTCCTGGAAAAGCTCTTAAGACTAGGTTCTTTATTTAAACTAAGTTTACATTACAAGTTAGAAAATATATAAATACAAAAAGTTTCAACTAATTCAATATTTCATTAATCAAGAAAATCAAATGATGAGAAAAGAAGTACTTAGACACTTTACAATATTTTACTTTAAGAATATATTTTCAAAATTTTCATGAAAATTAGCATGACTCTGGTGCCGCATTAAGTCGTTTGGTATTTTTTCGCATTTTTTAAACTTTAACGAATCATAGGAAAGTTTTATAAAAGCTGTTTCAAGTGGGTTATAAATCAATACAATTTATTTTATAAAACACTAATATGGAACATCTTGCTATATGTACATGTATAAATCAATATAAACCATCAACAAGTCGAATACATGAAAAATGAACAAATTATTAACAAATGATTAACGGCAGTACATGTGAAAGTGATAAGAATTTATTTTTATTAAACATTCCTGCTCTATCTGGACAAACTAAGATCACTGCGTGGCAGACTGGTTTAAGTTCATGGTATCTATATAAAAGCGTTATATTGTTTACAGAAGAGAAAGAAAAACAGTTTACCAAGTATTTTTTCTATTAGTGGAATCATGGTGTATTCACGGAAACTACAGTATGTGTTTTTGCTATTAGCAATCTATGCATTTGTAATGATTGTAACATTCTATAAAAATCCTGTTCGAAAAAAGCCAGGAGTGCGCCCGCGCATGAAAGAAGCTTTAGCAGGGCAATCAGCGTTTTTGCCACGCGGAAATGGTACGGCTGGTAATGGCACCGGACCTATGTTATACAGACATAAGAAAATGGCGGGAAAACTACACACAGACACAAACGGAAACATTTATGACACAAACTGAATAGTTTACATACATGATTGTAGGACTATAATGGTATCATAAATGCTTGTGTATATTTGCTTATTATTTATTTTTATCTATTTTTGTCAATAATCTACTCTGGACAATGTTTGGTTAATGTTCATATACAGTCGTCAATTGAAACCCGTGCTTCATTATACGGTCGCCACTTAAGGCCCATATATGCTTCAGAGAATGCTGGTAATCTTACAAAAGTGACTCCATCAAATGGGAAGTAAAATTATTCTTTATTGCACGTGTTAACTTGATCACGAATTTTAAAGTCTCATTCGTTTAACTTTATTGTGCCGATCTGGGTGTTATTTAGGTATTCTGTTATTTCGATTGTGTTACTATTTTTAAATATGAGTGACGGGGCATCGACCTCACACACCAATGGAGTTGAAGTTAAACAGCTTTGCCATTGTACCACTGCGTCTTCCTTAGAGGGCGTTCAAATATTTACTTTCCCATTATATACTTTTATTACTTTATCTATATGTGTGTAAACAGCTGTTTCTAAGATATAATTATATATTTCACCATTATATACATGTATAATATCATGAATGTAAAATAAACACTTGACTCATATCTATTGTTTGCTTTCATGCAGTGATTTTTTTTAAACCATGTATAGTCTGGAATTATACAAAAAAAAATAAAATAATTTTGAATTATCAATTTTCAAGACTGTATTTTTAGACGGAATGAGTTGGTATTTACCGAATATTTCCAAAAGGTTCATGTAAAGTTCCTTTGCACCAGAACAGCCGAAATGTGGCTTTTTGTGCATTTAAAAAAGTAAAATCATTTTAATAATACGATTAAGATTAAACTGACGTCACGAGTTGTTCTTAAAGGAACTCCACTGAGTCAAAAGGCCTAAAATAATGTCGAATTTATAAATCTTACAAATATTACGTTAAACACTTAAAAATGAAAGAACCTGCAAATGATATTAAAGAAATTCACCCAGAATTAATTTTAAAATTGATGGTAAGTGCAAATCTTAGCCCGATTTGACTGAAAAGTGTTGTTAAGTCATTTTGCACCAAAAAAAAAACAAAAAAAACACGGGTTCAGACCTACGTCAAGTGCTTTACAAATTTTGGGAAATTATTTCCAGTTCCGTCATGTCAAAAAACCTCTGTGCAGTCCCTTTAAAATAGACAAGCCGACAAACATCTGTTACAAGTAACGTAAATATATATTTATAGTAATATATATTTCTGATGATTAATCAATAAAAAGAAATCAACATGAATTAATTGAACATACATATGTCGTGAAAATTATTAAACATTTCACACAAATGATCATTTTATATAGAGTATACATATAAAATTGAAATATATTTCACCGGTATAATTGATAAGCAAAAGAATACATGTGCACCACAATTTTATTTTAAGGATGGTATTTATGTAAATTATAAATGAATTTAGCTGAATCGGATTGTATACTCGTACAGAACGTTGTGAAAAACTAAACATAGAAACAAAGCGTAACAAACTTTAAAGTTGTAAAAGAAACTTAATTTATGGAATTTTGATAACTATAGTGCAACATGAATAATGTTTCAACGTGTATGACGTAGGCTACAGATATTGAAGTAATTGACTCAATTAGGATACACACGCGTGTCTGGCGTTCTCAATAACATAATCTTGCCTGGAGTTGTTGTGAAAATTTTGTTTGTCCTGATCTTAACATGGCTGACATCTGAAGCGTTAGACAACTAAATGACACATCATTAATGTGTATTGCGTTTTAAGAAGATATTCAAGTGTTTGAGACGTTGAAAGATATCCGCCCTGGTTGCCATTGTAAGATATCCGCTGTGCTTGACGTTGTAAAATATCCGCCGTTTTTGACGTTGTAAGATATCCACTGTCAGGTTGACGTTGTAAGATATCCACGGTTGTTGACGTTGTAAGATATCCACTGTGTTTAACGTATTGCCAGTCAACATACGATAAATATACGACTCTATACGTCTATGACGTTGGAAAATTTCCACGTGCTTGATGTTGCGAAAAGATATGTAAACGTGTTTAATGTAGTGAGCATATATTTAAGCATTTGATGTTGTGATTAAAATTTTAGGCCAAAACTTCGGAGTGATGAACTATAACACAGACACGTGGTTGAGCGTGTAAAAATACTAGAAATTTAGATTGAAAATAAAATAGAATGTCTATTAATGAAAAGTTTCAGTTAGCAGTACTAACTATAACAATATACTCTATCTTGATGATTTTACTATTCCACCAGGAGTATATCAAAAAAGTCCTTCACATTAAACCTTGACAACACGTCTTCTAAGAAAGCTATGAGAAGGTGTTCAGGCGGAACTAGCTGTTTATTACATGTATACATGTTTATATAATTAATCTTGCTAATAAATATCATAGAAATGTATCCACAAATATTTGTCTGATTATCTTTTATAACAGAGGACAGTTTCTACCTTGAAAGCTTTCTTTTCTGTAAGTTTTGTGGAGCTACATGCAGCTAAGTGTCGTAACAGTTCTACTAATTACTTCTGAGAAGCGTATAACTATAACGCATATAACTAAAATTAACTCAGTAGTTTTCTACAGGCCGTGTATTTCATTAATTCCTTCTTTTTTATTATTATTTTGATTTCTTTCTTTGTTTTCTTTCTTTCGTTATAATTCATATTTATTATACCTCACTTATTTTTTTTTTACTTTACAGCCTTATTTGACGTCAGATAGTGTTAATAATCTTTTTACAATAATTCCCCAAGGGGCGAGTAATCTATATAGACTTAAGAAAACGTAATGTTTTAGTTCTCTCCCTTGGCCGCAATCATATTAATTTGGTATATGTGTATTTGTAAGGTAATTTTACAGTGTGACGTCACTACATTCGTGCAAAGTTTATGACATCTGCACATTTTCCATTACAGTTTAGGTGACAAGACCTTTGTAACTCTCAGCTATATAGATTTGTATTGATATTTATGATTTTTAAATACATGCATGTATCCATTCATAAATGTTCCATAATAAAAGGTTATTAAGATGTAATATATTCCGTAACATTCACGAAACCTGACATAGTTTTCGATATAGATAGTGTGCCAGCAAAGTTTTAAAAACTTTGACATGATCTTGAAAACTTACAGAGTAGTATGCGCAATATCCATTTTAATTGATGAAAATCAAAGCGCCGAAGGCACTGAATTTTTCCAAACTATGACAAACTATATTGATTCAGAATCTGTGTAACTAAATCTATTCGGCATAGAAGTTAAACTTGCATGCTTCTGCATTCGCATTTCTGCAGTAAATCTGTCATTGTAAAATGTGTAAATAAACTTTTCTAAAAATTTAAATAAACTCTTTAAACTTTTACCACTTCCACGCCCCAACCCTCCTCCTATCCTTCTACCTAACCTACGCATTCTAATAGTTATAAAAATCAAATATTTATGCTCCGAAGACCCAAACAAAAATATCATCTAGTAATCACTATTTCAATAATTTGCATCAGTGACGTCATCTTAATTATCTCTATAGCATAAATTTTGAGATGTCATAAAAATGAAAAATATCCCAATGTATTAGAATAAAGAAAAACACACTATAGAAAGTATATACTGAAACAGAAGCATGAATGTAAATGATTGTTCATTTTCTTTATTCCTTGTAAAGGTTCAATGACAAACACCGCAAGTTTTGGCACAAAGCGCAGCAAGTTCATTATCATTACAGGCAAACTGTATGTACAATGGGTCATGGCAACTTCCCCCGACACTGTCCACACATGCTGCCGGTGCATTAGTTACACCTGTAATTAAACAAAGATTAATGAAAAACAATTTAACACTGGGTTCTTGATTACTTTCTTCTGAATCTGTGTCTCATCTGTACAGAAAACGTAAAGAATACATTTTATAAGACAGCTAGTCGAACGTTGAATACAGAAATCGTTCAGGCAATCTCGACTGTATACTGAGGAATAGTGCATAAAAGTGGATCTCTTACCTATTCGGTCATTCGTTTATTTCAACTGTACTAGTTTTAACAGTGTTTGAAGAATAAACTGGCGAAGTAATCTATTTAAAAATCGATTGCATCAGTGACGTCATTTTTAATTATCTGTATGCTAGTCACAGACAGCTTCTTAACATTAATTGCTTCTTAACATTAATTGAAGTTACAATGACGTCGTAATGACATAAAAATATAGAAAAAATATCGCTAGTCGAACTGCCAAGGTCACACATTGTCTTCATACACGTCTTAAAATTACGCAACTGCGGATAATGATAAACTTAATATATAATCTTATTATGTCAACTGCCACGCCCGCATCTCTTAAAATGTGAAAATAGAAATACCATTGTCTTTATATCATATTTTATTCGAGATGCAAAATTGTTTATTTGGCTATATCAAGGGCCTTAATTTTCTCAGACTTGAAAACAGAATGGTATGTCGTACGCAATTGGGTTTGTTGACATCATAAGGCACGTGGTAGGATTATTTTCAATCTCTGTTGTTTCCGAGGTGATAACAAATAACTGACGAGGTGTTCCAAATGGTTTTCAGTTTTGTTTTAACTTATATATACCAAAATAAAGCAGTAACTATAGTAAACTTTATAGATCTTTCTAGATTTAAATAATTGACGACTGTTAAGACTCCTTACCACATAAACCGCACATTTTTGGACAGTAAGTCGTTGCTATGTAAATGTCTTGACAAAGTAATTGTTGACTGCGTGTATCTGAACAGAAGTCGACGTCATTGCAACCCACAGCTGGAACGAGTGAGTGCGCATGTGTATGACTTGGTGGCATACTTCCGGTTGAAGAATATGACGCCAAAGTTGTAGGTGCCTTTGATGTTGTTACTGATGCTGTGACTAAATAAGAGACATTTGCCATTTCACCTGCATGTATGAACCCACATTTAAAGTCCATCAAATAATTGATGAACGGTAATTCAAGTGTGCGTATCGGGGGATGACATCTCAAGCTTAAATAAGTCCCTTTTTGCTGTATTCTATCTAAAATCAATTTCTTCTGCGCATGCGCACTGGGACAAAAATTCGAAAATTTCAACATAACAACAAAGTAAAAATAACAAGCGTCCAAGAATGATTTTTTTAAAAGACATAAGTATGCATAATTTGAAGTACATTAACAAAGTTATGCAAAAGAGTGCTTGACTATGCGTAAAATCCTCACGTCCCTACCCATTTTCCATTCGCGCCCCATTACCTCAATGGCGCTGTTTTTACGTCAGAGATTAGAAAAGTCTAAGGCAGTTTTCAGAAATAAATAAATTACAATGGAAGTAATCTTTCACTTATTTGATTAAAAACTAGACAAGTGACATTCAGAATAAAATCAGATGTTAATTTACTTTACAAGGTGAATAAAGCTACAACAACAACAACAACAACAATAACAACAACATTCTTAACTAACATTGTAAGAAAAGAAAAATAAAGTTCCTGCAAATTGATAAACTGACATATAAATCGTCTGGGCATTAAAAGCAATAGTTGAATTAAATTCGTTTCATTATGCTATTAATCTTGATTTACTTTAAAGAATGAAAATGTATATCTAAGCACTGAAATACATTATTAGTTAAAAAGGTTTTTGACAGACTATATGGCCGTATATGGTTGTTTGGAAATATATCTCGAGCTGCTAAGCAAGGATTATATTGCAAACAACTGTTTATATACAGTCATATAACCTGTCAGGAATATTTGTAACGAATTTATAATACTGTAAACTTCTCTTTTTTAGAGAAAAAAACCCCTGACAATTCTTCATATAGTGACAGCAGCCGTGTAAATAAAACTATATAAACGTCATGATTATCCAATGAAAAAAGACGTTTATAATATATTATATATCATTTTAAGTATAATATTACAAAGTGACTATACCTGAGCATAAAACTTCGCCGCAGGATTTTCGCTCTATAAAAGAAGCCGGATTTTTGCAAGGTTTTCCTCCATTTGTAGGAACAGGGTTCGAACATGATCTGGAACGAAATGATTTTCCGCCTCCACACGTCACAGAACATTGGTGCCATGGTGACCAGTCCGACCAATCACCATCCACTATTAACATAACAAAAATGAAAAAAAAATCATAAAATTACATGAATTTCCGTAGTTTCTGAAAAATCTTAACCATAAAAAATAACAAAAAATTCGCACACTGACATTATTCAGCCACATTCGTTTGGTGATTAATGCATCTTAAAAATATATTCTTTGAGTATTTATGCTCCGTATTTCAAAATATTTTCGTAGGAGAAATGCTCTTTTTTCTGACATTTTTGGTGAATGTAGATTAGGAACCTCTTATTGATATGTTATTAAAAATCTACCCAAGATCAGAATTCTTTTTCGACATTTTAACCTGAATGGGTTTAAAATAAAATTAGATAAACACTGGCAGTGGAAAAGATTCAAACTTGACGATATTTATCGAATAGACCAATACCGGACCGGACGACAAGAAAATAGAACTCGAGGGGAATGACCGTCGAACATTCGAACATCTGTGCAACAGTGATATTCAATAACATTAAAAAACCAACATTAAGATTTTTCAAATGAATTTTATGAATTTAGATGCTTAGTCGACAGGGGATCTTTTAGTTAAAAGATCTCATTTAAAACAGATTTACAGATTTACTTTTATGAAATAATCGGACATAATTCCTTTCAGAGAACATTAGATTAATATATTTCATTGTTCTTGTACACGAAAATTAAATGCCTTGTTTATATGGGGTTTCTTTACATATTTTTATTATAAGCAACCTATATTGCTTTTAACACCTTCAAAATGATCAACTATTGTTATCTCGACATCGCTTTTCTGGAATTTTCGTTACCTCGATTAAATGTTTAAAGTCCCGATTTTTCCCTACTTTATTTATATAAAATATATTTGTCTAACTACACTTTCTGTTGAAAAAAAAAATATTTGAAAAAAATCATTCAAAATCAAACCTGGACAGTCATTGGCTCCGCAAGATTTTGATTCAATGAAATGTGCGGGATTTTTGCACGCTTTACCACCATTTTTCGGTACAGGGTTTGAGCACGTGCGAAATCGTGACGTTTTGCCGACCCCACACGTTGCAGAACACTGTGTCCAATTAGACCATGCCGCCCATCCTCCGTCCACTTGCACTAAAATATAAAAATATATAGAGGATATTCAAGTGTCTTCTATAAATTCAGGATTTATTATTTTCATCGAGTAGTATGAAAATAAATATATCATGAGTGCCGGTAGCCACGAGTGAAATATGATAACTTTCTTAGCACAACATGAAAATAAATCCAGTATTTATAGAAAATAGCCTTGAATTTGTCTGTTTTATATATTATATACATTTTGTCTTAAAAGTTTTAGTTCAAGCTTAATTTTAAAGAAACACAAGTGAAAATACAAAAAAATTGTTACTGTGCAGTGAAAAATAAATTTTTACAATAAAAAAACCCAGAAAATGAAATTACGCATTATTTCATCAATATTTCTCAATATTTCATTTATAAATTTATAAAAAAAAAGATAATCACGGAAAAAACATTCATAGCTTGATTAATCTAATTGGGTATCTTAGTGATGACCTTAAAGGAAATGTTAAAAGTCTTGAATTCCTTCCTACAATACGGGAACCAGACGATAGAGTACTTCCGGGAACCAGACAAAATCTTAAGGTTTTAAAAAAATGCGATGCCAAAATGGAAAATAAAATAATAAGAAATACATTACATGCACAGACACTATCTCGACAACCAGTGCTATCATAGGCCGATCCAGAACAATTTTTGCCACCGTGTGCCGGTGGTGGGTTCGAGCAAGTCCTGTGTCGGTTCTTGATACCATTTCCGCATGTGTGACTACATGAAGACCACGTACTCCAATGTGACCACGATCCATCCACTACCAACATAGAGATTTATATTTTATATATATATGAATACGTTGCATGGGCGTTTCTCTATATTTAAATATTGAAAATATCCAATCCTTTAATATAAAATGTCATATGGGGAAGCTATCCAGTCAGCCAATGAAACTTTGGTGGTTTGGTGGTCTACCTTCACCAGTAGTGCTGAAAAGTCGCGGTATGACCTCTACTGTAATTGTGCGACATAAAGCAAAACAAAACAAACAACAAAAATGATATAATTAAAGAATTATATGAATTATATTTATAAGAAAATATGTAGCAAAATAATATAAATACACATGCTTATCCGAAATTAAAATGTATTTATAATCATTATATTGTAAAAAGCCTTCATTGTAAACTTTAAGGGCAAAATTAATTTTAAAAAACTGCACCTGGGCAAGAGGTTGCACATGATGAAAGTTCTCTGTCCGGGCCTACACAATACGTGCCGTTATGTTTTGGTTCCGGATTGTTGCACAGGCGCAGTCGCAATCTATGTGCGTCACTTCCGCAGGAAGCTGTACATCCGGACCAGGCCGACCATTGCGACCATTGACCATTAACAGCTGCGTGTAAACATGACATAAATATCTATAAGGATTTTTACACTTCCCTTTTGTTAAAATATTTCAATCCAGGGATTCAAGCCTTTTGTAATATTTCAACAAAATGTATTTGACTGTCATTACAGAAATAGAAAGACAGAAAAGACCAAGATTGGCCTTAAAAGAACTCCACAGAGGTCCAAATGTTAAAAATATAACATTTTCAATTTTGAGTCATTTTCCACATTAAGAATAGTTATTCTGGAAAAACGGAGTGAGCGAGAGATCTGAAATTTTGCACATAACTTATTGATTTATTGATCTAGACCTACATTTAATGAAACATTTATCCTACCCAACCCCCCCCCCGAAAAAAAAAAAGAAAAGAAAATTCAGTCGAGCCTTAGTGAGTGGAGTCCCCTTTAAAAGCGTATATATATGGGCGCTATTATTAAGCATGACTTAGTATTACTCAAACAACTGACTATGTGATTCATAATTTAGGACTTTGAACAGAAACGCCCAGCAAAAAAAAAATTAATTGTGTCTACATTAGAAACTAGTCAAACTACGCATCATTCTTTTTTCGAACATTTAGTCCAAATTTGTGTTTGTTTTGTTGCTTGGTTGTTGCTGTTCCTGCTGTTGTTGTTGTTGTTGGTAGTGGTGTTATTTTGGGGGTGAAACAAGGGAGGCCCAATTTATGTACATAGTAATATTGTGAATATTATATTCACACTATTTGTTAATATTTCTTTTTTTGTCAAGTTAGAATATGTTCTATGCACATTCGAGGTTCCCTTTCTTAGATATTTTTTAAAGATTATACAAAAGAGACAACTCACGGCAGTATCCACAAGTCATTGCACAAAACTGTACCGCCATTTTGGACGAGGAACACAAAGTGCCCATGACGTCAGGTGAATTACAATGCTCATATACGTCTTTACAAGCTTTGTCGTCTGCTGGAACATGTCATAAAATATTTTCAAGTGTCAGCGTTCACTTATAAATATATGTAATAAATGTATATGTTTACTTAAAAGATGAAAACCACCCATTATTTTTCTAACATATTTGTCATTTCGTCATAACCAAACATAACCGAATTAATGGCATAAGACGAAAACAAATTGAATGACGTTAAAAATGACGTCGTTGAAATTGTCGCTACGTATTATTGTGTAACAATTTTCAAAGTACAGGTTCAAAAGTAAAATAAAATTGGATTTATAAGCTTCAAACTAATTATTTCACTAAAGTATTTAAGTTATTTAATAAAAATATAAGAAAGATATACTACTGTATCATGGAAGCGCAACTATTGTACCCAAAGATCTAAATTTCTCAATGCTCTGTGATTTTTGTATTTAAAATGTTCATCACTTAAAATTCAAACATAACCTGAATCTACATCGTTTTCTCGGTTATAAAATCACCTGTGCAGTCTTGATTATTGCAAGTTTTCATTTCATTTTTTATCGTCTGCTGTGAAGAATGCACGCATTGTCTCTGACGAGATTGTTTCCCGCTACCACACGTGACGTCACACGGCGTCCAATTCTCCCAGCTGGAGCATGTCTCTATGAAACAGAATGTTTAATAAAAATTACTTTGTGATCTATCAAATGTCATCAACTTTCGAACTTGGGCTTAAATTGTTCTTCCTTTATTATCAATGCTTTAACAGTCAATCGCATGTTTCGGTCTTTTCCGCCAAACTTCGGATAAGGATTATTGATAATCGGCGGGGTGTTACGGATGTCAACAAAAACAATCGTAATGGCATTTTAGTTTCAAAGCGTTAAATGTGTCATTAATTGTAAAATTGTTACTATTTTTGTAACTGTGAGGTAAATTTCGGTGATTATTTCAATCGTTTTACATGCTACTAATACATCAAGAAGCATAATCAAACCTTGCGGTTGAACATTACACGGTTGAGTGTTACAGTTTTCACCAATACAACAGTTGATACACGAGATGGTGTTCCGTTTACCAATTAGTAACGGGTCTCCAGAACCACAATCCTGTATTAATATAGAAAAAATAAACAAGACACAAGACATTGCCATTAAACCAGATTTTACAAACCGGAAATTATTTTTCTATTTTTAGTAACAGTGGTTTTGACCTTGACCCAAGTTGGGTGGTCCAAAAGCAATCCTATGGGAGGTATTTACATATGTATACTATATACCAAAATTTATTATAATATCCCGTTCTAAACTAGTCATTGATCGTCAACAAACTGGTAACCATTCGTCAATCTTATAACCGGGATTTTCTAAAATATGAGCAATCGTAATAAGCAGTTTTAATGCTCTCTCTAAGCATAAACATGATAGATATTTTAAGGTAAATTCTATAATAGTATGTGCAAGTAATTGCATTCTGGTCTAATTCTGGCGCACTACTAGGGATAGACTTTGTTTCAAAAAAATAAAATGCATTGGTAAAAAGGAATGTCCCGCATTATATACTAATTTGCACCTTTGTGCAAAGAGAAAATAGAAACAAATGGTAGGTGAGCATGCCCAAGGACTAACGAAACACCTCTTACTTTCACAGTGGTCAAGGTTGCCTCTGCGACCTATATTTACCTTTAGATCAATGCATCCGAGTCTATGGTATTGTTTTCCAAGGTTGTCATGAAGTATGGTAGCGGCGCATACCTGTAAATAATGAAATAATGAGGCCCGAGTAACATAATTGAAGCATTGTTGATTATCTTTCTCACCGATAAATTAAGAAGGAAGGAAGGAAGGAAGAAAGGAAGGAAAGAAGGAAGGAAGGATGGAAGGATGGAAGGAAGGAAGGAAGGAAGGAAGGAAGGAAGGAAGGAAGGAAGGAAGGAAGGAAGGAAGGAAGGAAGGAAGGAAGGAAGGAAGGAAGGATGGATGGATGGATGGTAGATGGGTGGAGGCTCATTTAATCAAAAATAAATAAATAATAATAATAAATAATAATAATAAAGAACAAAACCTAAAAAATTACATTTCAGACAAGACCAAATTTATCTTTCTTTCCCTTGTCTATATATTAACATACATACTTATTAATGATAATGTGACAACGTTAGTGAAAGCATGTATAAAGTAGTGTGCAATAACCTCGGATTGCCCATGAAAGCCCAAAGGCTTATTTCCAATGTGGTCCTTAAAACACCTAAAACGATGGCACCTTGCCGTACCTACACTGTACTGTTTAAGGACCAAAAGCTCTCTGACAGCAAAATAGTAGAACTAAAATTTCATGATCAGCTATTTCAACCATCAAACCATTGATTCAGAATTCATTTCTAGCACTCTCAACATATATCTAACCGTTGACATTTCCAGTATTTATATTAAACTGTCGATTTAGAGGAAATTGTAAACATTCGAACAGTCGGGAAAAGTAGAAATTTTAATACTCTAAACATAAGACCGTCGGAAAAGATGACAATTTCAACGTCCTAACCCTAGGACCGTCCCAGGAAAAGTGGACATTTTCAATATTCAAACCATAATTCCGTCAGGAAAGAAGACATTTCAAATATGCTAACCATAAGACCGTCAAGAAAAGAGGTCATTTTAACATTTTAACCACAAGACCGTCGGGAAAGAGAACATTTTCAAATTTTACCCATAAAACCGTCGGGAACGGGGGCATGTTTACCAATGTAATCATACGACCGCCGAGAAAGAGGACATTTTCTATATTTTAACCATAATTCCGTGGGGAAAGGAGACATTTTCATTGTGATTACGTTATTGTGATTACGAGACGTGAACGCCATTACATGGCCACGCAATATGTTTTACGTGCACACGCGTACGTAATATACAAATTGCGTGGCATCACAGAAGCTATCGGGAGTGGGGGTGGGGAGGATGCATGTAGTAGCTTTCGCATGGCGAGGTAATACTATTGCGTCCGCACGTACTTTCGCGTGCAGAAATACTGTAGGTCTCCCCTATATATGCCACCTACATTTCAGTAAAGAGCATTTTTCTTACTTGATTTTGTGCACATTTCACTGTCTTTGCACAAGTTGACACGTTAAAGCCAAACGGTATTTGATCACAATGGAAGCACGTAGTTCCTACAATGTACAACAAAATCATAATTAGAAATGTATTTGTTTCCTCTGTTTATATATCCAAATTTTAGTTTTCAAACTTATTTGCACACAAAATGATTAGGATCAGAGATAATTTCAATATTATTTTATATACATGTTTATATACATGTAATCAATATATAGGCACTTAGCAAATGTAACCCCGGCCACTTCGCTTATGAGGAATAGCGTGGCTTTTGACTTTTGTATTTTCAGACTTTCGTTGGTAGACCGCTCTCTATACGAGTTGGATATATCCCCCGCTTTCGCCGACGTCATAACAAAACCAGGGCTGATGGAATGTAAAAATTCGACAAATACCCCATCCCATCCATCCTTCAATCCCCGCTCCACACCACCCACCCCCTCCCACCCCCACCCGCCACACACACACTATGCACCGGCGCTGACAGCCAATGTCGCCATTTTGAATTACTGCACAAGACATTGAGCCCTTTTTTTGGACGTAATAATCTCCACATCACAGCAAAAAGTTTTCATATTCAAATGATCTATTAAGCAAAGGTACAAATTAAAGGCACATTATGTCTCAGCAACAAATAATTTATTTCTTCTATAACAACGAATTATATAATGTTTAAATACAGATTTTAGGGAATGTAAGATGATTGTTACTTGAAGAAAGTAGTGATTAATGTGAAATTTTTTTTCATTAAAGAAGCAAAATGTAAACAAAGTAGTATTTTGACTTCCACGCAAAATACAAATTCACTGTAACTGTACTTATTGCAAAAAAGCAACAGATGAAAAAAGTTCAGGTAATTGTTCACTGAGTAACTTTTTGGATACTATAAAAAAGTATACCAAAATTATAAAGCTTCTGAGAAATAAAAATGAAAGCATTTCTCAGGCATAATTCAGTTAATTGTTAATTGGATATTTCAAGTAATTTGAATATTTTACAGATGTTCATGTATAGCAACAATAAACTTCATACCTTCTGCAAAAGAAATCCACGCCTGAATGATCCAAATAATGATGGCCACCTGATCTATTATAATGAATGAAAATTTAAAATTTTAATGTTTGTAGTAAAAATATCAATGTTTCGTGCAATTTATCACATAGCCAAAATGAAAACTGTTTATGCTGGAAAAGAATCACTTTTCATTGACGCGCATGTAATGTAACGCTAAGGTTTAGCGCATCTAAAGTTACGCTATGTTTGTTGAACGTCAATGACGTCAAATCAAAATATCTGCACGGCCGTGGAATACCACTTTTTACAGAGTCGCAAAAGCGGCACGGGTGTGTGATTATATAAAAAATAATACATGTCCCTCAGTGTTATAGTGTATATTCGTGTGGTTTTCTATTATACCGAACCATAGAGCTAGAAGAATAGTGGTCAGGGGAGAGAACTAGAACATTACGTTTTCTTTAGTCTATATAGATTACTCGCCCCTGGCAGAATGTATAAGATTTTCTGACATATCTGTATCATGGCTTTGTAAAATATTATATAAAATTTATTATAAATATTTGACAGGTTATTTGGTCTTATTGATTACATGCTTTTCGGTTGTTTATAGAAATATATCAGTGAAATAAAAACTGATAATTTCACTCGTGAACACCAAAAGTTCATATTTCACTCGTGGCTGTGCCACTCGTGAAATATACCTTTTGGTGCTCACTCGGTGAATATATTCCGATCTTACACTGAACTAAACAAATATCCTCTATATAAACGCATGTTTACATATATAGGGGAGGTTTATATTGCAAACAACATTTACGACCATATAGCATGCTAAGAATATTTATGACAAAATAATACTGAAACCGAAATAGTTCAAGAGATAGATCAAACAAAATTACATGTATATTGAGCAATTCTACACCTAAATAGCCAAGGAGACAATAAATAAGTACTGTATGTTTACAGAAGAAGAAAAGACACCCACAAAAACTTACATATTTGAGTATAATTATCCATTGCTATGCGAGGTCAATATGGAACATAGATAAATATAGCAAGATCTTATCTCTCTTTTTGTTCATTTCAAAAGGTGTCGGAAATAAAATACCATGTCAGAAAATAAAACCCTTATCATCATAGCATGTATATAAGGACACTTTCTTTCACATATCTGAAGTTATCTCATTTTTAGCACCTCCGATTCTTTATTTGTTTTACACATATACATCAGAGCGGTGGGGTAGCGGGAAGCAGCAGATAGTGGGGACATTAAGCTGAGTGGCGGGGGATATTTCAAACTCGCAGTAAAGTGGCTTTTAGTGTAGAATTTATCATATGATTGATTCAGCATTGCAGGGTCTCTAATGTCGGTGTTTAAAATCCAAATTCAAACATTCGCTTTCCCCTCGGACATTTAAGGGCTGTGGTAACATTTGACTAGCGTGATGCTGTTTGACAAATTCATAGAGAGCTACGAAGGGTTTTTAAACTTTCGCCGGAAGTACTGCAAAATTATGGGTAATTGACGAATCGCAACTTTTCGAATAACAATATAACGATAAAGCCGAGGATTGAAAACGGATTCGTAGACTGGTCTCCTGCGCACTTCCATGGGAATCATAATATAACAGGGAACCAGAATAAACGGAAGCGGTGCATAAAAAACCGAACGGCAGTTTTAAAACGGAAAATCTAAAATATGATGTTGAGTGAATTGTGCGGCCGAAAACGTAAAATGTGAACGATGGCTTTAAATTATAATGATCTATAATTTCTGTTAAACAGCTCGCTTTGAGGCTTAGCCTTTTCCATATTAGAAATTTTGTTCCAGTAACAAAATATGCGGAGGACAAATCTCAAAAAATAAATAAATAAAGAATAAAAAAATGATACAATCTTTCCTGTTTTAAGGAGTTCAAAGAAAGATTAATATTGGGAATAAAAAAGACACAATAAAACAAGTTTTCATTTATAGACTTGAAGCCCGTCGTCCCTCTTCCTTGTAAATCACTTCTTTTTAATATTAAGATCTACCTACCTTTCAGGTTTCTTGTTGTTAACTATTATAGTTTCAGTGATATGTCCCGGCAAGAAAATGCGGACGGACGTTTACGGAGAGCTTAAACAAGGAAAGTGCATCAAAGCAAGGATTTAAGGTTATCACCATTAAAAGAATGGATGCAAGGTTTTGTAAAACGGTCATAGTGAGCATCTGTACAGGCCTCTCCTTCACTTTGTGTAAGAGGCACGCATCAAAGTGAGTTGGTATTGTAATATAATAATGTCCTTTCCGATAACCGTTATTACCTCCCTTTGTACGATTGTCGTTCCTGATATGTCTACTTCCGGTGAGCAAAATATTTTTATGGCGGATAAGGTAAACATTGATATCGAATTTGACACAATTTTAGATAACCATTTCGTAACGAGTCGCCGGGAAAGAGTTGCAAGGGATATTAGCTGGCATGTGGGTGTATGTGAATTCGTTATGAAGAAAAAGTTGCAATAATATACATGTATACATTCTGGTCATAAAAAGGACCTACAACATCATCATCATCATCATCATCAGCAGCAGCAGCAGCAGCAGCAGCAGCAGCATCGCCATCATTATCATCATCATCATCATCATCGCCATCATTATCATCATCATCATCATCCTCACCTATATCACCATCATCATCATCACCTATATCATCATCGCCATCATTATCATCATCATCATCATCCTCACCTATATCACCATCATCATCATCACCTATATCATCATCGCCATCATTATCATCATCATCATCATCATCATCATCATCGCCATCATTATAACCATCATCATCATCACCTATATCACCATCATCATCATCACCTATATCATCATCATCGCCATCATTATCATCATCATTATCAACGCCATCTACATCACCATCATCATCATCGTCGTCGTCAGTACTATTGTTATCAATGCCATCGTTATTGCAAAATATTACTTTGATATTTCAGTGGCATTATCTCAATAAAACTAACTTACTAACTAACTACCTTACCTTACCTTACCTTACCTTACCTTACCTTACCTTACCTTACTAACTTACTTTACTTACTTAACTAACTAACTACATGTACCTACCTAACTAAATAAAGTTAATGCTGGAGGACAAAGGAAAGAATACATTTCATATATACAACGTTTATTATATTTAATATAAAAGTATAAATGATATCATTACATTAGTCATTACATTAGAAGAATCTCAAAAAGGGATGCTATTTAAGGGCATTTACCTAAAGACACAAAATGGCCGAAAAGTTACGATTAATCAGCGTAGATCTACAGGTTTGCTGTACTTTACCACAAAAAGGACGTAAAAAGTTATTCTGTTCGAAAATATGAAACAGGGGGACGAAACTAAATAATTCAAAATTTATTAATAGATATGCCTTACGTACATTGTGTGTTTAAACTCTTTTTTCATAATTTCAAAACGACAACAGTTACTACAAAATTTTGCTCCGGCAAAATGTTTACATGTATTATTATTAATTCGTATGGGTGAAACATGTTTTTAAGCAAAAAACAAATTGTCGTCATTTATGAAAATAATTCCTAAACCAAACAAATGAGACAATTAATAGTAAAGAAAAGAAAGCCTTTTAAAAAAAATTCGTTTCCGTATTCACTTTGCGCTGTCCGCAGGTATCATGTTCTACGCAAGTATCTCTTTCTTTCCGATTGTTTATATACAATTTTGAATACAGGCTGCTGTCACTTTATGAAGAAATCTCCAAAAAAGGTAGTCAGTGGCTCGGGCTATATTTCCAAACAACCGTTAATAATATTATTTATTAAGTTTTTTTGACAGATTATATGGCTTTGATTAAACGGTTGTTTGGAAATATAACCAAAGCCTCTATATTGCAAACAACCGTTTATATACGGTCATATAACCTGTCAAAAATCTTTATAACGAATTTATAATACAGCAAGCATAATTTTTTCTTAGACAAAAGGTAAGATTTCTTCATAAATAGACAACAGTCGTAAATATAAAACTATATAAACGTCACGATTATCCAATGAAAAGCTTCGTTACAGACGTGCACGCCAAAAATTTTTATGACTAATAATATCCAGTGAAATTGCATGAACACTTGTATAGACTATTTAGATACTTGGTAGTCAATGTTATTTATTGCATTTATGTAATTTATATCGTTATCAGACCATTTAAGATCTACATTGTATTTTGTCAATTTTGTCCAACAATGGCTGTGTTCTTGTTTGATAAATGTCTGGTGCGCATGCTCACGTGCAAAGATCATCAGTCGTTGAAGCTAACGGGGCATATTATATAAAAGGAATGTTAAAATAACCTTTCCGATTTGAAAAGCAAAAACAAAACAACAAGATAGTTGGAGAGAGCTTGTGTTTTTGGCTAAAACGTGACTCCTCGGTTTAAGACACAACAATGTCACTCATGCGATTAGGCTAAAATGTTGCTCCTGTATTTTAGGCTAAAATGTTGCTCCTATATTTAGGCTAAAACGTTGCTCCTGTGTTTTAGGCTAAAATGTTGCTCCTGTATTTTATGCTTAAACGTTGCTCCCTGTGCTGAAGGCAAAATACGTAGGTTTAAAGTTAAAGTTAAAACGTTGCTCCTCTGTTGAGGACTAAAACGCTGCCCTTAAGCGTTGCTTCTGTTATTAAAACAAAATACATTGCTGCGCTCCTCCGTTTAAAGCTAAAACGAAACTGCTTCTCTGTTTAAAGTAAATAATGTAGCTCTTCTGTTAAAAGCTGGAATGTTGCTTCTGCGACGTTGTTTAAAGGCCAAAACTTTGAATTTGTGTTTACGACCAAAGACAGTGCTCCTATACGTCACTTGTAGTTTACTTCATACTCACTGACGGTTCTTATTACGGCATTTTAACATCCATTATGACCCTTGCTTTGTCGCTACTAGACTTTAAGCCAACGGCAGGGAACAGCTTACAAAAGGATGGGTTATTAACGTCCAGTGTACCAATCTGTAATCCAACAAGACAGTTGTCAAGGATTAAATGTATGGTTACTACTTTTTAATAAATGAGCCGAATCATGACAAAAACAACATAATGGATTTGCGACCAGCATGGATCCTGGCCAGCCTGCGCATCCGCGCAGTCTGATCAGGATCCATGCTGGTCGCTTACAAACTCTATAACAAGTAGAGAAACTGATAGCGAACAGCATGGATCCTGATCAGACTGCGCGGATGCGCAGGCTGGTCTGGATCCATGCTGGTCGCAAACCCATTATGTTGGTTTTGTCGTGACGCGGCTCAAATTATTCTGGCGCATGCGCCGCGTTCACGCTAGGTTTACACGCAAATCTTAATTGTTGGAATATGCAATACAGATCAATTTAATAAGTCTTAAAAACAAAATCATGGATATTACAGCTATAAAAAATGAGGAAATACAATATTGGGTTTGTTTAACAGATGTCAAGCTGAAGTCTGCTTCTGAAGTGTGCATTCGATATTACTGCTTAACTTATGTGTATCATGTATCGGTGTATCATGTATCGGTGTATCATGTATCGGTGTATCATGTATAGGTGAATCACGTATCGGTGAATCATGTATCAGTGTATCATTTATCTGTGTATCATGTATCGGTGTATCATGTATCGATGTATCATGTATCGGTGTGTCAAGTATCGATGTATCATGTATCGGTGTATCGTGTATCATGTATCATTGTATTATGTATAAGTGTATCATGTATCAGTGTATTATGTATCGGTGTATCATGTATCTGTGTATCATGTATCTGTGTATCATGTATCTGTGTATCAGTGTATCATTGTATTATGTATCAGTGTATCATGTATCTGTGTATAATGTATCAGTGTATTATGTATCTGTGTATCATATATCAGTGTATCAGTTATCATGTATCGGTGTATCAGTGTATCAGTTATCATGTATCTGTGTATTATGTATCGGTGTATTATGTATCAGTGTATCGATGTATCAGTGTATCAGTGTATTATGTATCATGTATCAATGTATCGTGTATCAGTATATTGTGTTTCGGTGTATCATGTATCAGTGTATCATGAATCAGTGTATCATGTATCAGTATCGGTATCATGTATCGGTGTATCATATATCGGTGTATCATGTATCGGTGTATCATGTATCGGTGTATCATGTATCGGTGTATTGTATCGGTGACTGTTTTTTTCTTACATATTGCCATGTGGTTGGTTAGCATGGAATTTTTACAAATATGCGACGAGCACCTACTGTGAAAATTTTCATATCACGTAATTTCAAAAAGAAACCCTAGCTTTACTTCTTATAATGCATATTTATGCGTGGTGTGTTTATTTCTTGCTATTTTGTTCTAAAACTATTCTACAAACTAATTACCTTTTGACTATTTTTGGTAACTGAAATTGACATGCTCGTCTTGAACACGTTGGAAAGGAACGAACACACCCCAAAACCGATGACGTCACCATTTTTGCACGGCGCACTGATACGTTTGTGTGGTGCGTCCTCACAATGAATACTGAAAAAATAACACCGTTGTGTAATCATAATAGATTTCTTATTCATTTTCAGATATATAAAATTCCGAATATTTTGCTTTTTCTTTCGTTTGTAATTTAACACGTTTTTTTACCAGTATCAGATTTTATAATTTTTGAAATCATTGATAAATTAAGTTAAGTTCTAATAATATTAATACAAACTATATTTGAGCTTAATAACAAACCATATCATGCATATGGCCTGCTTACGGAGAAATATTCATTAAGGCTTGTCTTTCGTTCTGATCATTTTCAATTTTGTAAAAACATAAGTTTGTTGAATGACTGAATATAAATACATTTATGTATATATCCTATTTGGAATAGATTTGTTTATCCTAAAAATAAAAAACCATCTTACCAGCCATCCGCGGAGTGAAAGCCCATTGAGAAACGGCCATCCCCAGGCTGTTCTTTCAATGAATAATCTTTTGGTATAAAGCCGATAGCTGTAAATAAAGACGATAGGTGATGATTTATATATATGAAAGAATAATAATGAGATGATTGAGGAAAAAATACTTTCTATTATAATTACTAAATAGTGACATGATTTAAAGGGACTGCACTGAGATTTAAAAGCCTAAAAACAGAATATAAGAATTTCTTACATAAATGAGCTGGGGCAATTTAAACAGAAATATATGCAAAGATAGTTAAGAAATATACTTTGAAATAAATTGAAAATCGTATTTTTATGCTTTTCTAAGCCTGATTTGAAAGAAAAGCGTTCAAGCGCTTTTCAATTTGTGTCATTTTATTACAATTTGAATAATTATTCTGTAAAAACGAAGTGCGCGAATGATCTGAAACTTTGAACAAAGATTAGTGGTCTAAACCTACATCAAATTGTACATTTATCTGGAAAAAAATATTTTCAGTCCCATCATGTCAAAAAATCTCAGTGGAGTCCCTTTAAATTCTAAGTTAAAATTATTTACTTTATTTACAATCTAAGATCATGACTATCAAGAATATCAGTATGTAAGTGATTGAAATCTTACAAATATTTCCATTGCTCTCGGTGTTGATAATTTCAACTTCAAAATATGTCCCCGCTTTTACAGATCTCTTCCATACAAACAGACCTATGTCCCCTTTATTGTTGTCTTTGAAACTGAAACCGAGATGTAACTCCGTTGCATTTGGAAAACTTCAGATCCATTTATTAATTTTCTATAACATCTTATTCAATTTTGCATTGAAAGTAAAACTTTTTGGTCAGAAATGTTTTTAAATGTTTGATTGTTTTCAAAAAATTGCATTGAGATAGAAACCAATGTTTTACTGTTTGTTATGTTAACTGTACCAAACAGAATCAGATCTAGTCACTTTTAAAAGATTGTGAAAATAGTAACTATTGTCCTATGGTGGTTACAAACTTTTTTTTTTGACGTTTTTGTTGGGTCATAATAATTACGTAATGAATTTGTCTGGATTTAACAATATAGGACTGGAGCAGTGCAGAAATCATTATCACAAAATAGACAAATATCGTTCTTTTTTGACCTATTCTTTCATTTTTCATGTATTATTATACATAAATCGGTGTGAAAAGTTGAATTAGACATTTTAAAGTTTATTCCGTCGTGTGAAAAGGCAAGGTTTTGGCATTTAAACATTCAAGCGCCGGAATTCGGTATTTAGTGCGGTGCTCCAATCTTTTTTTTTTTTAGTCTCACTCGATTTGTCTACATATAATGCTTCAGGGACTGAGAGAAACCTGCAGTATCGCCGAATGTGAAATAATAGTAAAGGATCAAATATAATGTACAGCATAACACTAAAGTCTAACAGAGCAAAACCCTTTGATGAGACAAATATTTTGATTGGTGCTTACAAGCAGAATATAGTAGAAACTTTTACTTAAGGAAGAAATAATAGCGTTGTTGAAAAGAGGTAAATACCCTACAGAGGACCCGCTCTACAGAGGTTAAAACGTAAATAAAAAATTGAACTTACGTTACGATGTCACCAGCCATTAGAATGTTTTCACATTTCAACTGATTCTCAAATAAGGACTGTACAAAAAGGAAAAGAAAATATATTGTTAACACAGATCTACAAATGCAGCTGAAAAAACGCAACTTTTGTTTGAATAGAATGTGTATATTAAATACGTTTACCGAAAGTAATGAAGGAAACCTTCTTGGTATTAAATTGCTGGTAGTTATCAAAGTTTCAGGAATTGCCTTCACACCATTGCCACAATCGCAACTTTTTGGCTCTTTCCGTCAGTCTTCGGATATTATAGATAATAGCCGTGGACGTTCCGATTGAGCATTGCCATTATAATTTTTCAAACTTGATATAAATTTACAAGGGGGCCTCCGTGGCCGAGTGGTTATGGTCGTTGACTTGAGATCACAGGTCCCCACCGCTGTAGGTTCGATCCTCACTCGGGTCGAAATCTTTCATGTGAGGAAGCCATCCAGCTGGTTTACGGAAGGTCAGTGGTTCTACCCAGGTGCCCGCTCGTGCATGAAATAATGTCCGAAGGGGCTCTTGGGGTCTTCCTCCACCAATAAAGCTGGAATAAATCGACGAAAAAATCTCGGCGGGACGCTCTAGGATGGCCCGACCTGAGTGTACGGTCGCCCATATGCCCTTTCCGGCGGCGACCTTAAATAAACGCATTAAAAAAAATTACAAGCAGAGTATCGTCACCCTGGTGCATGCAGTAACAGGAAATTTAATTGGAGTTAGACTCTTACTGCACTAAGGTGACAATATGTGTTTATATTTTCTCTCAATATCATTACATGTATTTAACATGTCATTTTTATTTTAATAACATTTTTAAAAAATGTATAAATACTGTTTAAAATAGATTGATAACTTATTAATAGAATTTGACTCGTGAGGATTTGCTGAATAATTATCATCAAGCTATGGATATATTCAATACAATATTTATAAAGATTTTAAGTGACTATATTAATGGTTGACAGCATATATATATTACCCGTTAAGAGAAGGTTCCATAAAGCAAAAACCCGGCAATATCTATCCATATAGGTTGGCGTAAGTTTTTTTTCATCAAATTTCAAATAATGCACAAGTGTTTTATTTTATTTTCATAATTGAGCCGTGTCATGACAATACCAGCATAATGGGTTTGCGACCGGCATGGATCCAGACCAGTCTGATCAGGATCGATGCTGATCGCTATCAGTTTCTCTACTTGTATTATTAATCTTACCCAGCTTTTCCGTTTAGAGGAACTTTTCCTTCGGGTAATCTTTGACTGTGGAATTTCCTCATATATCAAATCTTCATAATCTAAAAGTTCATCACATACTCTTATATAATATCATGCAATAAGTAAAGGAAGCTATATCCTATTCATATATGTGAAATATAGATAAGAACTAATTTATAAAGACGTGTTATTATAATGCAAATGGACGCCTCGAATTCTGATTGGATGAAACAATGTGTTACTTTTTCATGGTAACAACACCAAACGGCCATCATACACATACCGAGTGCCTAGATTAGATATTTTGTTTGAGATGTCTAAAGAAAGCACAATTCACTTCAATGATAGAACAAAAATGTTCAAAATGATATCATTTTAAGTTAAAGGAACTCCACTGAGGTCCAAAAGCCTAAAAACATAAAATTTGAATTTCTCTCATAGATCACCGGGACACTTTAAACAGAAAGGTATGCAAAAGATCATCAAGAATTATACTCAGAAATAAACCGTTCATATTATTATTGTGCTATTCTTGGCACAATTTTAGTGAAAAGCGTTGCAACGCTTTTCAATTTTAGGTCATGTTTCACAATAACAAATAATGATTCTGGAAAAACAAAGGAAGCAAATGATCTGAAAATTTGCACACAAGATTTTGGACTAGATTTACATCAAATGGAACATTAATATCGAAAAATTATTTCAAGTCCTGTCATGTCAAAAACCCTCAGTGGAGTCCCTTTAACACTTCGATTGACATCACTTGTCTTGACCTAACACACCTTAGTGGGATGTGATACTTAATCTTGTGAATACAGAATCAGTGTTATCGTATCTGTATGTTGATTTTTTTCTTTATTTTCAAGATGTAGTTTATTTATAACGATAAATTGCTGATTTTTTGCGGAGCAAGCTTCAAACGGAATCACGCTCAATATTTGTTGTTTTATAACACTCTTTTTCAAATGTAGTCTATGACGCAACATCAAACCCTTAATTATAATCATATAAAATAGTTTAAAAACATTTTTATTGTGACGAAGTCATCATTTCCATGAATGAACTAATCAATAGGATCGATATATGAAATATATTTATTTTTTTTTTGGGGGGGGGGGGTGCTAGCTTTTCGTATTAGCTCAAAGAATTATATCATTTTTTGTTATAAAAAATCAGTTTTCAATAAAACCAGTTTGTTTTACCTTGTGTTGAGGATATAGACAACGTGTCTTCATAAGTAGAGGCACATTTTCCCGCAATATCTTTAGATGATATAGGTTTCTCATAATCTAAAATAAATTATATACAAATGAACTGACATTCATGGTGTCAAAATTTTTATGGTGTTCAATATCACAATTTCACAAAAATTATTTACGTCGGTGACTTTCCAAGTACATTTGAATTAAAGAGAATTGATCAGTGATACCATTAATCATCATCATCATCATCATCATCATCATCATCATCATCATCATCATCATCAGTATCATCATCACCACCACCACCACCACTATCATCATCATTGTTATTATTATTATTATTATTATTATTATTATTATTATTATTATTATTATTATTATCATCATCATCATCATCAAAAACGTCCTTACTAAACGATCATCATCATCATCATCAAAAACGTCCTTACTAAACGATCATAAACTCCACCAACTTTTTTAAAGAAATATTTTATAAGAATATTTATTGCATTCATTAAAATTTGAAATACTTAAAAATGCGCCTATTGTGGAACCATCCAGATAAACTCGTACATACCTCCTGTTGATATTACTGTTTGACATTCTCTGCATGTTAGGTCTGTGTTAGAATAATGTGGGGACAGGGGTTTGGCTTTTTCATACCCTATAAATCAAGAAAATATTGATAAACATAATATTTTAGATTCTTAAAGGGACTCCACTGAGGTTATTTGACATGATGGGACTGAAAATATTTTTTCCAGATAAATGTACCATTTGATGTAGGTTTAGACCGATAATCTTTGTGTGAAATTTCAGATCATTCGCGCACTTCGTTTTTCCAGAATAATTATTCAAATTGTGAAAAAAATGACCCAAAATGAAAAGCGTTACTCAAGTCGGGCTAAGAAAAGCATAAAAATGCGATTTTCAATTTATTTCAAAGTATATTTCTTAACTATCTCTGGTTATATTTCTGTTAAAAGCGCCCAGTTAATTTATGTAAGAAATTCAAATATTATGTTTTTAGGATTGGAAACCTCAGTGGAGTCCCTTTAACCTAGTGAATTTATGTAATCGATTTGTCAAGTTCATTAATTAGAAACAGTCCATTCCAAAGTGAAAGGATTTCAATAACAAAATACACAAGTACAGAATTCAGGCATTCCACACTTAAAGATATACTATGCTCATCCTTGAGTAAAATATTTTTTGACAAAAATTTATTAAAATCTATGATATTCTTACTGAATATGTCTAATTAAGATAAAAGAATGAAAAAAGCCGCGTTCCCTATTACAGGTCAAGTAAAGTTAATCTTTCCAGTTTTTTCAATGACACTATATATTCATATTGTGACCACCTTTAGTATACATGTATCTACTTTGTGTGAAGTTAAAACGTGTTTATTTTATATTTACAAAAAGACTATTTAGCAATCATCAATATTTTCTATTATCAAAGTTGAGCGTAGTTTATGTTTAAAAATCAGCAAAGTAAAAGCTATCGATGTTAGTTTATATAGGTTTATACATTTTATATCTATTATAACTTTTGGTTATTTCACACATGAACATTGATTATATCATTTATTTTATCAAATGTGTGATACTAGAAATTTACTAGAAATTTACAATATGTTTGTCATCAGTAACCTTTTCATATTATTCTTTATTTCTTTAAAATTTAAGCAATTTTTAATTATTTACCATCTAGATTTAATTCATCATTTCTCAATGTATTCCTTGCCAGAGAGTCAGTTTTTGACGAAGTAGCAACTTCGTAGCCTGAAATAGAATGTTACATTACAACAATACATAAATAGAGTGTATTAAATTTTCAAGGGTTTTTTTTCTATAAATACAGAATTTATTTTCATCAGTTGTATGAAAATAATTATTTTATGAGCGGCAAGTACTTGTATTTATAGGAAAAGATGCTATTTCTTTTATACATTCTCTCTTTTATGACATTACAATTTGAAATAATTCTACTTTAATCTTATGTATAAGCTGAATTTAGAAGAAAGTAGTCCGGCAAGACACGAGTGAAAATACGGAAAATATGTTTCACTGCGCTGAAAAATGTTTACAGTGCAAATACGGAATATATTTGATAGGGAGAAAAATCAAGTATGTATAACATAAAACACATCTATACCTTTGTGTTCTTGCGAAGCAGGGACAGGTGTTTCATCGTCCATGATTTCATCCATGATCCCAAGTTCCGTTTCCCTTAGCAACTCTTCTATTTTATCATTTCGTTTGAACGTATATTTGCTGATTGTGTTCTGTGACTGAATTTTACCAAGATTAAGTTCAATTTCCTTCATGGCACATTTGGCCTGAACTGTTGCGATGAATACATTTGTTTGTGAACAATTTGACTCAATTCTGTTGCATATTTGTGTCAGATCACCTTTAAGTTCTTCACAGTCGTGTCCAATTGCATCCATACGTTTCGTTTCTCTTTCTTTGACAGCGTTTGCTTTTTCCAATAAAACTGCTTCCAGTTGCTCCAATTTTAGCTTTAATTCGTCACGGAATGATTTTAAACCGGCAAGAAATCCTTCATGTGTATCATGTACCAGTGTTTTGTTATGTTCTATTGATTTGTCGCATTTATCTACTTCAGTTTGACAAGCACCAACTTGTTTAACGATGTCTTTAAATGTCTCGCTATCCTTGAACGCTCTAGCTACGTCGGCTATGTATTCAACATTACAAGATTTGTGATTCAGAACCATGCAGTCGCCACATCCAACATCATCGTGGCACGTACAATAAAACTTCAGCTGTTCTTTCATATGCTGAGGGCACGGAACAAATGCATCATCCTCAGTTTCAGTCTTTTCATCTTCAACTTTTGAATCAATATCTATCAAAGCATGGTCTTTACACACTTTGTATTTTTTGTGGTTACCGAAACATGCAATACACATATGTTCCTCGCATTCCCGACATAAACCATTCGCTGGTACACGCTTGTTTTCATCTGCACAATGTTTACATATTACACTATTAGTATCAGAATTTTTCCTTCCAATAACCTCCATTTTAACAACTATATAGATCTATAATTTTTATAGATTAATCAAGTCCTTCTGATCTAGTATCATCAAAATCTTTTTAGAATATTTTAAACATTTTAACATGAATTCCTTTTATATAGAAAAAAGAAATTTGATGCGGTTTCGAAATCTGAATGGATTTATAAGGATCTACAAATATAGTTTAATACAGCATAAGTTCTATTTTTAGCGAATGCGCCCAGGTATGTTGATTAAAGGTAAACTATCGTACGTTGAATCGATCTATCTGTGTTCATGTATTTACGTATTTAAACTTAATAGGTCAAAGGCGTTTTGAAATCGCGTTTAAGTTGATGCAACTTACACTGACTTATATGTATATATAGAGGAGCTAAATCCTAAATGGATATATTTCCACTTCTGTTATTTAAAATCGCTGATACGTTAATAAAAAATAAATTTTGAAATATATCAGCATGACGTCACGTCTATTGGCAATAGATTGTATTTCAAAAGAAAATATGGACCGAGTTCAAAAAGAGACAAAGAAATGATGTATTAAGACTATTTAAGTTTTTTTTCTTTAATCCGCTGCTTACATACAGAAGCTAATGGTATATTATGGAAAAGGTGAATTATCATTATTCCGTCTATATAGTGTCAGTTACTTTCAAATACCTGCACGTACATTATGTACTATTCGACTGGAGGAGATGAGTGGGTCCCCCCCCCCCCCCCACACACACACCGTCTGAAATATTTATTACGCCGAATTTTGTCGAAATATTCTTGAACCGCGCCTGGTTGGTGTATCTGGCGTCATAGCAATATGCTAAATTGAATATTTGCGGATTATTATTTATTTTTTGCCGTAACTCAACTGTGTGTATTAAATTTATACGTTTAAAATGCCGAGTTAATGGACTCCGCCTATTACATAATTAGCTTGCGCGCTCATTATTTTGTTACGCCTCATTAAACAAGTGCTTGACTGAAAAGGTGTTTTAAACTTTTGATTATATTGTCCAGCAATATTGACCTGGCACATCATTAACTTAGGTAATGGTCATTTGAATAAACACTGACCAGTATATCTATCGAATAAATCGATATATTTGCTAACTTTACTCGTCAGTGTGTTGTGGTGTATTGGTAATGAATGAATGTATTGATGCTAATATATTTACAAGCCCATATTTGTGTACTATTTTCAATAAAATCTTTGAGACTGGCATTTACCCAGAATCATGGTGTAAAGGGGTAATTGTACCTATTTATAAGAAAGGTGATCCCGAAAATCCTTCAAATTACCGTGGCATCACGTTAGTAAATTGTATGGCAAAAATATTTTCCTTAGTATTACGTAATAGGTTATATAAATGGTGTGAAAATATCAGAACAAATTTTCAACGATGTACATTTTGGTTTTAGAGATTCTAGATTTACAGCTGACGCTATTTTTATTCTACATTCCCTTATCCAGAAGATACTTGACAACAAATCAAAACTATATTGTATTTTCATAGATTATGAAAAAGCGTTTGATACTGTAATAAGAGATGCATTGTGGATTAAATTGATTGAAAATGGCGTTAGCTGTAAAATGGTTACTATGTTAAAATACATTTACTCTTCTGTATTATCTTGTGTCAAAATTGATTCTAAATCAAATTTTTCTGATTTTTTTTAGGTAACTCTAGGCTTAAAACAAGGCGAACAATTATCTCCCTTGCTGTTTATTTTATTCCTTAATGATATTGATCAGTGTATAGATCTTAACAAAATATCTAACAACGACCTAAACCTTTTATCTAAATATTTGTTACTTTTTGCGGATGATATTGTGTTGTTTACAACTGACCCTGCAAGCTTGCAGGCACAAGTTGATAATGTTTTTGAATATTCATGTAAATGGGGTTTGAAGATAAATGTTAATAAAACTAAAATATGTGTATTTGAAAAATGTAAGTCCGTCCATAATTTTAATTTATTTATAAATGGTCAATTGGTTGATAAAGTAGATAGTTTTACATATTTAGGAGTGAAATTTTCTGACACAGGTAGTTTTGTTGAAGCTGTGAAAGCACTATCAGATCAAGGTCTAAGAGCTTACCACAATCTTCTCGCACTCTTTGATAGAGTGAAATTCGATGTCAAAACAAAATTATACTTATTTGAAAGAATGGTAGCTCCAATCTTATTATACGGGTCAGAGGTTCGGGGTATATATAAGCTGAGAGATATTGATAAACTACAGATAAGATTTTATAAATATGTTTTAGGTGTCAAAAGACAGACCCCAAATTGTGCTATCTATGGGGAACTAGGTAAATTTCTTTTGTCTGTTCTATGTCAGGAAAGAGCTTACAATTTTTGAATAAAATCGTTAAGCATCAGCAGGCGCCTATATACCATATTTATTTAGACCAATGTATTAATGGGAATGATAAATGCTGGGCTAAAAGCGTTCACTCTGTTATTACTGATATGGGCTTCACGTACATTATTTATGACTATGCAGTTAATGTCAATTATAATATGTTATTTAAGCAGAGAATTAGAGATCAATTTTTACATTAGTGGAATGACTGTATAGATAATATGCCAAAGCTTGACTACTATAAGAAATATAAAAAACACAGTTTTGTTTCGAGGAATATCTTAATTTTGTAAAAAATGACAATTTACGTAAACAATTATCATGTTTTAGATTATGTTCTCATTCCTTAGAAATAGAAACAGGTAGATATATGAGAACTGATAGAAATAACAGATTGTGTAAATTATGCCCGTATAAAAATGTTGAATCAGAATACCACTTCTTATTATGTTGTCCCTTATATTCAGAACTGAGAAAATCTTTTATAAAACATGTATCTTTTCCAACTTTAAATAAGTTCTATTCTATTTTGTCATCAGGAAATAAAAGTAGAATATTGCAATTATGTAAATTTTTAGATAAAGCATTCGCATTAAGATCTAGTGTTTTAGAAACAATGCAAGAATTGTAAATTTGATATGTTTCTACATTTTATGTGAACATTGTGCATTTGTATTGACTATTGAATGTATTGAATGTATGTCATATTTCAAGTGATTTATGTATGTTTTGTATGTATTGCCAAAGGCAAAGCTTTGTAGAAAAATGCAATAAAATTTGAATTGAAAAATTTAAAAGAATTGGTATAGATGTCGGACTACCGATCTGAAGGTCTCCGGTTCGATTCTTTACCTACATCACTTTAAAAAAAAAATTTACTTGAAATCGTTTTACTACACCTGGTTTTGGAATACCTTTTAAGTTGTATTTTTATATACAATTATATTTTATATTTCAGTACAGTATCTTTCAAAGGTACTTTTTGTGACATAATGCAAATCGAATATGCTTTAGCACATACAAGCTATAAAGGCAGTTATTAAAACTACTACATATATACAAACGTTTGCAATAGTTTTAAGAGAATGACAATTTCAAAATTAGAATAAAAAAGAAAAATTAAATCGTTGAAACAGGATTCGAACCTCTAAGTGTACGTGTACATTTTTTTCAAGTGAAACCTATTTACCAATTGCGCTAAGAAGAATTTTGAATACATTATTTTAACAATTGGATATTTACATTTCTATCAATTTACAAGTAGATCGTAACGTTTACGGAATATACCGACTACAAGGTCAAATGCAAGAGTGTCAGGTCAATGTTGTTGGACAATAACTTTGGGATTTTAACGTTCTTTTATGGAGGAATGGGAGGGACTTCGTTCAGAAGGAATTATAAACATTGCCTTTTAGCTTTAATTTAATATACAATGAATCCACAAAAATATGTTTAAATCCAGAACTTAAGAACAAAAACCATACAGAAACATATTGAAATATCATTAAAAGTACACCCGATTTTATCATATGTCCATAACAAATCTTTCACAATAAATGGCAGTGTTTCTGACATTAATATTGTCAATCTGATAGAAATACATGTACCGTATTATTATTATCACCTTTTTTGTTTGTTTTGTTTCATTTTACGCCTTTTTCCAACAGTATTTCAGTCATATAGGCGGGTAGTTTCCTAACCATCCGCCTATATGACTGAAATACTGTTGGAAAAAGGCGTAAAATGAAACAAAACAAACAAAAAATAATCACCTGCAGCAAAAAAAGAGTGAACAATATCAATATTGCACACGCTGCCATATTATATTTGAATTAATATTTTATTAATAATAAAATCTAATATCAATTAAGAAAAAAATAGTCGATGTTCGTATATCAATTTTATTTAACAATTGTTTATTTGGCTTACACTTTCCATAGCCACATAGCAATTGTATACCTGCTTTACAAATATATACATGTATGTACATTTGAGGTTGCAACACAATTTTTGTTTTTATCTTAACTTTCTCCATAAAAGTATATAGTATTTTCCTTGCTTTTATGATAAAAATTCTGGCATTAAAAGCTTCAAATGTTATGCGCTACTTAAATGTTATGTGTAGTTATGTGGCAGAGTGGTGTCATTTTTAGATCACAATGGAGTTAGCACTGCAACATACCCTCTTGCATAGTTCGTCAAGGTTTGTCCTCTATTTTGTTTTACAGTTCGCCAAAGTTTGTCTGCCAATGAAATCGCTCTATTTTGTTTAAATTTTGCCGAAGTATTTTCCATACAGTGCTGTACCTCAACTGTATGTATTAAATTTACACGTTAAATGAGCCGATTTAATGGACTCCGCCAATTACATAATGCACTCAATTTGAATGGGCGGGGCTAACTGTAAGTCGGTTATAGGTTATATACAGAGTTTCACTTCGTTCGCTCGAAAATTAATTTCTTAAAACTCTGTATATAACCTATAACCTTAAATATTCTTAAGCCACTGTCTGTCATTTTATTGATTTTTTTTGTTTTTTATGGTTTTAAAGGGTATTACCGAATATAATCGCTTTTTTCGACGTAATAAAAATCGTTTGTACGAATCTTTAAAAAAAAACGTCTGCAAATGTAAGGGGAAAACGCGTGTAAGTAATAGAAAGAGCATCGAAACACGAGGCTATCTGATTTGTACCAGGGGGCGTAGCCCCCGAGTATTAATCAGATTGCCAAGTGTTTTGATGTTCTTTCTCTTTTATATCATAGTCAAACATAAAAGCA